AAAAAAAAAAAAAAAAAAAAAAAAAAAAAAAAAGCGACGTTAACAGCCCTTCACACAGCAGAGGTCAGAGAGCCTGTGGAGTTGGAAGACTGGGGACTCTTCTGTTTCATACGATGATTGGGCACCTGCACAGGCTGCTGGATTTTATGTCCAAGGCGGAAGCTCAAGCAGAACACAGCAGAGTGTCCTCTCCTTAAGGCAGAGTGCCCTTTTGGTCCACGTTTCTGTCACACTCAGAACTTTCCATTGAGCTCTGGGGTTCTTTAGGAGCAGTCTGCAGAGTGAGGCCCCTGTTCGGCCTCCATGTCCGCTGCCTGCACCTGCCCCTGCACCTGTCCCTGCACCTTTGGAAGGGCGTTTGCAGGCCTATTTTACATGATGATACGTGTCTGGTGCAATTCTTAAAAGTGCCTGAATTTAGAAGGCGTGGGAAAGAAAGGAGATACCATGAAGCATATAGTTTTGCATACTGGGAAAATTTACTTACAAATTAGAAAAATGTCCCACAGAAAAAGAGACCCAAGACCCCAGACCTCATCTTGACCTTTGCTGTTGGTGTCTGTCCTTACAGCTGTCCAAGGTAGAGTGGATGGGGAGTGCAGACAGTGTGGGCGTCCCGCTGGGTGTCACAGGAGACAGGCTGTGATGGGACATGGGTACTCACGTGTTCTGTGTCTGCATCTGGATCTCTACAGGTAGACAGCACATACCTGTGTGTCAGTCAGCAGGTGTTCACTGGTGCTGGCCACCCGTGTGTTTTCGGTGCCAGGTCCCTTTCTGTTCCTGTTCTAGCACTGGGGCCTCCCAACTCTTTAGCCAGATGCCTTCCCCAGACCCGCCTGGCTCCTCCTCAGTGAGGCCATTTGATGATTCTTCTTAATCGTTGTTATCAGTGAGACAGTGTCTTACTTTGTCACCCAGGCTAGAGGACAGCGGTGCGATCTAGCTCATTGCAGCCTTGACTTCCTGGGCTTGAGTGATCCTCACACTGTGTTGCCCAGGCTTGTCTGGAACTCCTGGGCCCAAGTGAACCACCCATCTCCGTCTCCCAAATTGCTGATTACAGGTGTGAGCCACTGCACCTGACCTTTATTCTTCTTTAAAAAATACAGCCTTTCCCATACCACTACCTGTGTGCTTGGTGCTTCTCCTCACGGGAAAGGGCCCAGTCATAATGCTCTCTGCCTGGCCTGCAGAAGCGGGACGCCATGTTCACTGCTGCATCCTCCCACCTGAAGGAGGGCAGGGCAAGATTTCTCTTGAGCGCAGAGGAGCTATGAAAGTCTCTTCCCCAGTCAGCTCAGACCTCAAACCTCACACAGAGGTATAAAAGCCACAGTGGCCCAGCCTCGGGCAAATGCCACCTCGATGGAGCTCCCTGGGCGTTCTCAGGAGCAGCCACATGTCCCTGGGGCAGAAATGGCATCTGCTGATGGCTGCGTTGGCAGAGTGCTCAGCCTCTTTCCTCTGTAGCCCCCACGCTGGGCTAGAACCCGAGCTGGGAGTGGGGAAGGTGCAGTGCAGCCGGCCCTGCAGGGTGGGGTGGTGCTCTTTGTGGGACAGGGTTCTCCAGACTGGGTTGTGAAAGTGAGGAAAGCATTTGCTGTCATCGGAAATATTTAAAAGAATAGGATGCAAGCTCTTAGGAAGGTCCACAATGGAAATTCACACCATTTCATCAGACTGAGCACCCTTTGCATTTAGAAAGTTATATTCATTTTCTTTAGAAATGTCTGTGTCTTAAAAAACACTGAAAATGTTCCAGAATTAGGGAGGCTTATGAGCTGTGCTGGCAGAATGTGTGCGGGAAGTGGCCTGGACCCTCAGGGAATCCCCCCCGTCTCGCAGCTAGCAGGGCAGTCAGAGCTGTGGCCACTGCGGGGAGGGAAGAAGCAGCGTGTACAAGTGCCCACGGTTGCGTTCACGGTCGAGGCCCTGTGTGTGTGATTGACCTCACACTGTCCAGACACAAATCACACACATGCACACGCCTGTCTATAGGGAGAGCCAATGCGTGGGGACAGAATGGGTGACATCGGTCACAATGGCTCACACCTAATCGCATCACTTTGGGAGGCTGAAGTGGGCAGATTAATTGAGGTCAGGGCCTCAAGACCAACTTGGCCAATATGGTGAAACTCTGTCTCTACTAAAAATTCAAAAAACTACTTGGGCGTGGTGAGGTGTACCTACAGTCCCAGCTCCCAGCTGCTGAGGAGGCTGAGGGAGGAGAATCCACTGAGCTTGAGAGGACAAGGCCGCAGTGAGCTGAGACTGCACCGCTGCACGCCAGTCTCGGCAACCAGAGTGAGATGCTGTCTCAGAAAGAAAAAGACTTGGGAGGCAGAAACGATGTGGGGCAGAATGTTAGCCAGAGGTGGATTTGGGTGGAGGGCACATGGGGGTCCTTGCTGTGTTCTGTGTTTGTTTTTATGAGAGAATCTTGCTGTGTTGCCCAGGCTGGAGTGCAGTGGCACCATCTCGGCTCACTGCAGTCTCTGCCTTCCGGGTTCAAGTGATTATCCTGCCTCAGCCTCCCGGCTAATTTTTTTGTTTTTTTTTTTTTTTTTGCTTTGAGACAGTTTCACTCTTGTTACCCAGGCTGGAGTGCAATGGCGTGATCTCGCCTCCCCGCAACCTCCGCCTCCTGGGTTCAGGCAATTCTCCTGCCTCAGCCTTCTGAGTAGCTGGGATTACAGGCACGCACCACCATGCCCAGCTAATGTTTTTGTATTTTTAGTAGAGACAGGGTTTCACCGTGCTGACCAGGATGGTCTCGATCTCTTGACCTCGTGATCCACCCGCCTCGGCCTCCCAAAGTGCTGGGATTACAGGCATGAGCCACCGCGCCCAGCCCCTAATTTTTATATTTTTTTGTATTTTTTATTTTTAGAGACAGGGTATCACTCTGTCGCCCAGGCTGGACTGCGGTGGTGCAATCTCGGCTCACTGCAACCTCTACCCCCTGGATTCAAGTGATTTCTCCTCCCTCAGCCTCCTGAGTAGCTGGGACTACAGGCTCACGCCAGCAGACCCGGCTAATTGTACTTTGAGTAGAGATGGAGTTTCCCCATGTTCGCCTTGATGGTCTTGATCTCCTGACCTTGTAATCCACCAGCCTCGGCCTCCCAAAGTGCTAGGATTACAGGCGTGAGCCATCACGCCCGGCCATTTTGTATTTCTAGTAGAGATGGGGTTTTACCATGTTGGCCAGCCTGGTCTTGAATTCCTGACCTCAAATGATCGGGCTGTCTCGGTGGATCTCAGCCTCCCAAAGTGCTGGGATTACAGGCGTGAGCCACCACACCCGGCCTTTTTAATTTTTATTTTTATTGATGAGCCACTGGGTTTTACCTTGTTGCTCTAGCAGTACTAGAACTCCTGCCCTCAAGGGATCCACCTGCCTCAGCCTCCCAAAGCTACTGGCATTGCAGCATGAGCCACAGCACCTGGCCTGCACTGTTCTATCTTTGCAATTTCAAAATGATTACCAGTTGAAAAAGCTCGCCCTGGCCCCTGTGGAGACCTCTCCCCGAGGCCCCTTCTCAGCACCCCTGACTGGCCGTCAGTGAGCCTGGAGGCCTTCCTGTGCCAGCATCTTGCTCTTTTCCAGGAGATGGCAGCTGACCTGGAGCTGCAGCAAGACCCCTCGGTGCCCCCCAGCCACTCCCCTTCCCAGGGGCACTTCCTCTATGGGATTTTCCACAGACGGCTCCAGGCTCTGATCAGCGGGTGGGGCGTAGCTGCCAGCCTTCGGAGACAGAGGGAGCTTCTCATGTACAAAAGGTAAGGTCTGCCAGCACCTGGGCAGGGCAGCATCTCATGACGGTCCTGGAGTTTCTTGGTAGTGCGTTTGTCTCCTGTTGCTTGTTTGTGTGTCCCCACCCCAAGCCTGTCCGTCTGCGAGGCACTTGCCACAAAGAGAAGGATCCAGCAGGTTGAAAGTACTTTGGATTAAAACCTTCCAGCTGGACAAGGTGGCTCACACCTGCAGTCTCAGCACTTTGGAAGGTTGTGTGTGGATCACCTGAGGTCAGGAGTTCGAGACCAGTCTGACCAACATGGTGAAACTCCATCTTTACTAGAAATGCAAAAGTTAGCTGGGCGTGGTGGTGGGTACCTGTAATCCCAGCTACTTGGGAGGCTGAGGTGGGCTGGTCACCTGAGGCTGGGAGTTTGAAACCAGCCTTAGCAACATGGAGAAACCCTGTCTCTACTAAAAATACAAAATTAGCCTAGCTAGCATCCTTGTAAGCAGGCTGAAGTAGGAGAATGGCTTGAACCTGGGAGGCGGACGTTGTGGTAAGCCGAGATCACGCCACTGCACTCCAGCCTGGGTGATACAGCGAGACTCCATCTCAAAAAAAAAAAAATTAGCTGGGTGTGGTGGCACATGCTTGTAGTCCCAACTGCTTGGGAGGCAGGAGAAATCACCTGCACCTGGGGGGTGGAGGTTGCAGTGAGCCGAGATCGCCCCACTGCACTCCAGCCTGGATGATGGAGCGAGACTCTGTCTCAAAAACGCAAGTAAAACCTTTGCTCAGATTCGCAAATCCTCGTGGGAGGGACACAGCAGAAGGAGATCTTGTCAAAGTAAGGAAAACTTGAGAAATGTTCACCGCAGCTGTATTTACAATTAAAAAAAAAAAAGTGACGTCATTAAATTTTACAGTTATTGGGAATTGCTTCGTGAGACAGACTGGTGCAGCATCCACTTGGTTATGTAACTGTTAAAAGTTGGGGTTCTTTGATAACACATTTTGAGTGCAGTAGGCAAAGCATGCATGATACAGGTGAGCGAGTGGGGCTCCTAGTGCAGGCATTGGGTGGGACAGAGAGACAGGCCCAGGCTCCGGCCCTGGCAGTGGCACTGGGTCTCAGGGTGGTGGCTGCTGGTCTGAGAGTCTGAGCCCTTGGGAAGGAGCAGCGTGTGTGCTGTGTGTTGCCGGCAGTATGGCCCCTTCCTTCCAGGATCCTCCTCCGCCTGCCTTCATCTGTCCTCTGCGGCAGCAGCTTCCAGGCCCAACAGCCCATCACTGCCAGATGCGAGCAGTTCTTCCACTTGGTCAACTCGGAGATGGTAGGTGCTGCACACTCACGTCCGCCTGACTGGTCAGTGCCTGTGCTGACAGCAGCTCTTGCAGCCTCCATGGGTGTCCTGAGCATGGATTCACTCAGGAAAGGGCTCAGAGTCACATAGGTATCAGCGTCTGGAATGCTGTGTGAGTGTGGAGTGCCATGTGAGGGAGGCCCTGACCCACAGCCAGGACGCACGTCACATCACCAGGCCAGCTGAAGGTTGCCTTCTGCTGAGTTTGAACTCCTTCACTTTGATTTTGACGCATGGAATTGTACAGACCATTTTGTGTGCCACACACCTCCGTACGTTCATTTCCAGTCTCAGCATGCTTCATGTGTAAAAAACCTGCTGCTGCCTGTCGGGCACCCCCGTTACCTTTCCTTTTACGTGGGGCACCCCCGTTACCTTTGCTTTTAGACGCTGCCCAGTGTGATCTTAACCTGTAGGCCAGGTGTGGTGGCTCATGCCTGTGATCCCAGCACTTCAGGAGGCCGATGTGGGTGGATCACTTGAGTCAAGGAGTTTGAGACCAGCCTGGGCAACATAGCAAAACCCTGTTTCTACAAAACATACTAAAATTAATTGGGCATGGCGGTGCATGCCTGTAGTCCCACCTACTTGGGAGGCTAAGTCAGGAGGTTTAATAGAGCCCAGGAGGCTGAGGTTGTGCAGAACCAAGATCCCACCACTGATTTTCAGCCTGGGCGACAGAGGGAGACTGTCTCCAAAAAAAAAAAAAAAAAGAAAAAAAAGGCGGCACTTGCTCTGGGGACGGGTCAACGTCAGGGACCGAGCCGGTCCGAGCTGGGAAGATACCAGCCCCTCACTTGCCACAGAGAGCAGCTTCTGTTCCTGAGGCCTTTTTCTTGTTTTTGAAGATACACAAATGTGAGAGATGGAATTGACGTTCCACGCCAGCTATGTAGCACCTTTTTTTTTTTTTTTTTTTTTTTTTTTTTTTTGAGATGGGGTCTCGCTCTGTCACCCAGGTTGGAGTGCAGTGGTGCGATCTCGGCTCACTGCAACCTCCGCCTCCTGGGTTCAAGTAATTCCCCTGCTCAGCCTCCTGAGTTGCTGAGATTACAGGCATGCGCCACCACACCCAGCTAATTTTTGTATTTTTAGTAGAGACGGGGTTTCACCATGTTGGTCAGGCTGGTCTCGAACTCCTGACCTCATGATCCACCCACCTCAGCCTCCCAAAGTGCTGGGATCACAGCTGTAAGCCACCGTGCCCCGCCTTGTGTAGCCCCTTTCCTTGTCACTTTAAAATGTGACAAGAAAAGCAGAGGAGATGAGACCAGTGGAAGCTTTGAGAAAATCACCATAGTTTCCTTTGAATTCTTATGAAAGGCTATTTTTTGGAAAGTTCTCAGAATGGCACATGACAGCAGACAGACAGGAAAACACCATGGGCAGCACTTGGTTAGCGAAGGACAGAGGAACCAGAGGATGGCTGGGCAGTGGAGCTATTGTCCTCGGCAATACGACGTCTGGGCCCCAGTGCGTCCTGTCCCTGCAGCCACTTGTGCCTCCCTGCCTTCTTCTGGAGCCTACAGACTGTTCGGGCTGCAGGAGCTGGCTGCACAGGGAGGACAGCATGGCCAGGGCTCCAGGTCAGGTCAGCCAGGTGTGCCATCCATGGTCGCCTCTGCCAAGCCTCAGGGAGTGTTTCTCTCACAACCGAATCCACCCAGCAGCGTCTCTGCACGCTGGTCTCAGCTCTCTACCTGTGGCCTTTTTCTTTCCCTGAACTCTTTTACAGAGAAACATCTGCTCCCACAGAGGCGCCCTGACGCAGGACATCACTGCCCACTTCTTCAGGGTAAGCTGGTCCCTCAGCCCCTCCCAGGGCCTTCTCAGCGCCCTGTGGGTGGATCCTCCTATCAGGGTCCTGCAGGTTCTTACGCTCTGCTGGTCACGGGTCCTGGCAAACCACTGAGCTCCTGCTGTGTTCTCTCCTGCAGGGTCTCCTGAACGCCAGTCTGCGGAGCAGAGACCCTTCTCTGATGGTCGACTTGATGTTGGCTGAGTGCCAGACGAAATGCCCCTTAATTTTGACCTCTGCTGTGGTAGGCCCGCTGTCTTCTCAGATGTTTTGCTTTGGGCCTGAGTGGGGGACTGTGTGGCTGCTCTGGCTTCTCTCCAGCTCTTTTCCATCTTGGGTGTTATAATCCCAGAGAAAAATGTGTCAGGAGACTCCGAGGCCACAGTTAAAGATGTCAGCTCCCAGCAGATCAGTGCCGAGCGTCCTGAGTTCCCAGAACTGTCCCAGCCCCCACCGCAGACACCTTGGGAACCCTCATGACTTCTCCCCGTGGACCCCGCTCAGACCCCACAGGCACCTTTGTGTCCATTTGTGCGTGGGGCCTGTTGGTTCACGGTTTTGGGTTACACGTTGGCTGGAGGCTATCGGTGGCTGCCTGTGCTCACTTGCGCCTGACTACGGAATTCGGAGCAGAGACTTCACCTCAGTTCCCGCCAGAGCTCACAGGCTCCCGTAACATCCCGGGGTCCCGGGCATGGGGGAAGAGTCAGCGCTTCCCTCACTACCTCGGTGGCTCACTTCGTCCTGAAGACTTGTCATCAGGGACGTGAGGGTTTTTTTCTTCAAGGAGCACAGCATGTTCCCCAGGGAACTCCTCAAGTAGGCTGACATTTCCCCCGAGTTGTAGCTCAGTTGGTGGAATTCACTAGAAATGAACTCTTCTGTATTTAGAATGCCAGCTCTCAGCTGAGGACGTCCAAGGACAAGGCACGCCCAGCTCAGGGGCGGTGTGGTTGCTTCACTGCTGCGTTGGGCCAGGCTCTTCCTTTCCTAATTCCCCTTCTTCCGTGAGTGTGGGTAATCATGCCTCACAACAGTGTTGACCCTTCATTGAGGTAAAAGATACTGGCTTTGGAGTTCCAAAGCGCAGGGTGAGTGTGGGCCCATGGTGGCTGGTAGGAGCGCTGCGGGCTCCTCGTGGCTGTGGCATTGGAGGCATGTCCATCTCAGCCGCCCTCATCTGTGTCCTGGTGCTCTCTCTCTCTAGTTGTGGTGGCCAAGCCTGGAGCCTGTGCTGCTCTGCCAGTGGAGGAGACGCTGCAAGAGCCCACTGCCCCGGGAGCTGCAGAGGCTGCAAGAAGGCCGCCAGTTTGCCAGCGAGTACGTGTGGGTGGCGGCCCGAGGCATGCATGCCCAGATGCACTTTGGGACCTGTTCGGTGTTGTCCCTGGACACCCTAGGTTGCTTGAGAGAAGGGGCATGGGCAGCCTCTCGTGGGAGCAGGGAGAAAAGAACTGAGCTGTCATTGATGGTGGGTACCTGTAATCCCAGCTACCCGGGAGGCTGAGGTAGGAGAATCGCTTGAACCCAGGAGGCAGAGGTTGCAGGGAGCTGAGATCACACCACTGCACTCCCGTGAGCAATACAGCGAGCCTCAGTCTTTGGGAAAAAAATAACATAACCGGCCTCTGGCAGGCCCGTCCCAGTGAGGAGCTCGAGAATGATTCCTCCTCACCTGCTCCCCTTCCTCTTACACCTGACGTGGGCTCCCAGAGTCAGCCTCGTGCTGGGGGTCAGTGTCATTGGGACCTCAGGGTGCAGATTCTCAGCCTACTCTGACCTGTGGACCCCAGTCCCATATTCATGGGTCCTTGGAAACTGCTGAGCTCTTGGTGCATTCTGGACTAACTCACCCTCCTGGGGGACGACAGGTGATGGCCTCTCCACCTCCTGAATCTGGGTGCGTGTTCCTAGGGGGTCACAGAGGATATTGCTAGTCCCCATCCAGCCTCCTTGGAGAACACCATCCTTTTTCACTGTTTTGATCCCCTGATGCCACGCTGGGTCCCCTCAGGATTCAGCTGCTCACAGCCTGCTTGTAAAACAGAAGAGCTGGGAATGGTGGCACACGCCTGTAATCCCAGCACTTTGGGAGGCCAAAGCAGGTGAATCACCTGAGGTCAGGAGTTTGAGACCAGCCTGGCCAACATGGTGAAACTCCATCTCTGCTAAAAATGAAATTAGCTGGATGTGGTGGCGGGCACCTGTAGTCCCAGGTACTCAGGGGCTGTGGCAGGAAAATTGTTCGACCTGGGAGGCGGAGGCTGCAGTGAGCTGAGACTGTGCTCCAGCCCGGGCGACAAGAATGAAACTCCCTCAAGTGATCCGCCCGCCTTGGCTTCCCAGAGTGCTGGGATTAAAGCGTGAGTCACCGCGCCCGGCCCTGTTGTGATGTTTTGAGATTGAGTCTCACTGAGTTGCCCAGGCTGGTCTGGAACTCCTGGGCTTAAGTGACCCTCCCAGAGTGCTAAGATTACAGGCGTGAACCACCATGCCCAGCTTATTTGATGTTTCTCAAACCACAGCATCATGTTTCATTAATGTACTGCCCTGGGCTGGAGTGCAGTGACACCATCTCGGTTCACAGCAACCTCCGCCTTCCAGGTTCAGGCGATTCTTCTGCCTGCTGAGTAGCTGGGATTACAGGCACACACCACCACTCCTGGTTCATTTTTGTATTTTTATAGAGGTGGGGTTTCACCATGTTGGTCATGCTGGTCTCAAACCCCAAACTCCTGACCTTTTGATCCACCTGCCTCAGCCTCCCGAAGTGCTGGGATTATATAGGTGTGAGCCATGATGCCCAGTCTCCTGCCAATTTTTTAACTGGCTAGAAAACTGTCTGACACCACAGTGGGGTCAGAGCCAGGTGGTCCTTTGTTCTCTGTTCCAGGAGGGAATGCCTGATCCAGTCACAGGGCCAGGCATGGAGAACTGAGGCCTCTTCTTCTAAAACTTAGGCAGCTGGGGCCCAAGAACACAGGGTAAGGTGGACAGGCCCTGCCCACTCCCTCCTGGAGTCAGTAGGAGCTGTGGGGGCAGCACCAGCACCTGCCCAGACTCAGGTGGACCTGAGGTGTGTAGGGATGCAGACCTTGTTTCTGATGGCCTGATGACCTTCTGCATCCTCTGATGGCAAGGCGAGCCCCAGAGGTGTACAGGAGGCATTGTGACAGCTGGGAATAAGGAGTTGGCATCTGTGGTGTGGCCGTAAAGCCCTGCAATGACCACCTTCTCTCTGTTCCAGTTTCCTCTCTCCTGATGCCACCCCCCAGGCACCCAACCCAGCCTGGCTCTCAGCTGCTGCACTGTACTTTGCAGTTCAACAAGTCGGGGAAGAAAATGTCCGGACCCAGCTCAAAAAGTTGGACTGCGAGAGAGAGGAGGCAAGATAAGAAATTCTTTTCTTTCTTCTCTCGCAAGCTTGGTTTTAGTCAGTGCTATTTCTCTGGGTTTGCCTGATGAACTGTGTTTTTCTAATGACAAATAGGAGGCTTGGAGTTCTTGTCACATTATTTGGAAATGAAAAAGACCGAGTCTCAAGTTTGGTAAAAATAGATTTCATTTTTTGAAATGCTTATATCCATCTACTTATTTTTGAGACAGAGTCTCTCTCGTCCAGGCTGGAGTGCAGTGGTGCAATCATAGCTCACTGAAGCCTCTTTGTCCTGGGCTCAAGCCATCCTCCGGGCTCAGCCTCTGGAGTCGCTGGGACAACAGGTGTGTACCACCATGCCTAGCTAAGTTTTTAAATTTTTTAAGAGATGAGAGGGTCTCGGAGAGATGAGGGTCTCTAGGCCGGGTGCGATGGCTCACGCCTATAATCTCAACATTTTGGGAGGCCCCGAGGTGGGCAGACCACCTGAGGTCAGGAGTTCAAGACCAGCCTGGCCAACATGGTGAAACCTTGTCTCTACTAAAAATAAAAAAAATCAGCCGGCCTTGGTGGCACATGCCTGTAATCCTGTAGCCTGTAAAACCACTCGGGAGGCTGAGGCAGGAGAATCTCTTGAACCTGGGCAGCGGAGGCTACAGTGAGCCAAGATCCTGTCCCTGCCCTGTAGCAAGACTGTCTCAAAAAAATAAAAAGAAAAAAGAAAAGGCCAGGCACAGTGGCTCAGGCCTATAATCCCAGCACTTTGGGAGGCCGAGGTGGGCGGATCACCTGAGGTCAGGAGTTCGAGACCAGCCTGACCAACATGGAGAAACCTCATCTCTACTAAAAATTCAAAATTAGCTGGACGTGGTGGTGCATGCCTGTAATCCCAGCTACTCAGGAGGCTGAGTCAGAATTGCTTGAACCCAGGAGGTGGAGGTTGCAGTGAGCCCAGATCACACCATTGCGCTCCAGCCTGGGCAAGAACGAAACGCCACCTCAAAAAAATAATAAGGGAGGTGGTGGGGGGCGTCTCCCTCTGTTGCCCAGGCTCGAAGTGCTTTTATTTAGGCTCTTCGTCATCACAGCCCAGTGTTAGCTGTCAGTCTTCAAGTGGTGTCGTCTTTGTTCATGCTGCTGAGGGACAGCCCTGATAAGCTTGCAGTGAGGCAGCTCAGAGCTGGGGTGCTGGGGGACAAGCGGCAGAAAGGATGGGACTCTTTAGCCATAGGTATGGGGAAGGGAACAGAAGAAAAGGCTGCTGCAAATTCCAGGCCAGAGACTATGCTGGACTCAGACCCAGTGCCCACCTGATCGCCGCACCCTGGAAAGCCTGACTACCCCTGCCAGGCCAGTGACACCCACATGGCCCTCCATGTAGGGAGCCAGGGGTGGTGTGGGTACAACAAGAACTGAAGCTAGCATCCCACAAGAGAGCTGGACTGAGCGGTCCCCTGTGCCCAGCCCATGGTCACACACACAGGCTCTGCATCAGCGTAGTGCTCACACCAGCGGAAAGCTGGACCCATGGCACAGCCAAGGGTTTTGGCGATTTTTAACAACACTCCAGGAGTTAGGGTTCTTCTGAGTATGTTGTCAGGTTGCCTGTGGACTTTTGTTAGAAGGAATTTTAGTGGCTCCACAGCCTTGAGGCCCTACTGTGCGGAGAGGACAGTGTCCACAGATACCTGCCCAAGGATTGGGACCCCACACACAGCCAAGGAGTCTGCAGCACCCCCTCTTTCTATGTTTAAAGGCAAGTGTGAAATGACCCAGTCAGTAGTAATTCTCAATTAAGCTCTCTCTTTAAAAAGTGACTGGAAAGTTTTCTAAGATCCACTTAAAGGATTTATGGCCTAGATGTAAAAAGATTCAGTTAAAGAGAAATTTATGTGTCGACCTTATTTGCAATCACAGTACATGTCATTTTAATGTAACAGTAATAAGTGCACATCTTTCTTGGCAGCTATTGGTTTTCCTTTTCTTCTTCTCCTTGATGGGCCTGCTGTCGTCACATCTGACCCCGAACGTAAGTCAGACCTTACCAGCTAAGGTGTCCTCTCCTGTGTGCGCCAGGCAGGGGCTGGCTTGGAAGCTCGCTGCCTGAAGTCAGGATTTCCATAGCAGCTCAGAAGCTCCCTATGTTTGCAGAAGTATGAGAATTCCCAGGCCATGGGCCTTTCTTGTTTTTTTTTTTTTTTTGAGACAGTCTCGCTCTGTTACCCAGGTTGGACTACACTGGCACAGTGTTGGCTCGCTGCAATTTCTGCCTCCTGGGTCCAGACTATTCTCTTTTCTCAGCCTGTTGAGTTGCTGTCTAGGATTACAGGCATGCGCCATGAAGCCCAGCTAATTTTTGTATTTTTTAGAGACGAGACCAAGTTTCACTGTGTTTCCAGGCTGGTCTTGAACTGCCCTCAGTGATCTGCTCCTCTTCGGGCTTTCAGAGGGTTGGGGGACCACAGGCATGAGCCACTGCATCCGGCCCGTGGGCCTTTCTTTTCACATTGATTTCAGGACGTGATATGGCGGCCTGGTGTGTGAGCCCCTTCCGTCCACAGACCCCTGTGCTATCTTTTGTAGGTCGTCACCAGTTCTAAGACTTCCAGTAAGCACTGGGGAAATGCCTTCTGTGAGGAGGGCCATACTCCCCCACCCACGTGAGCACAGCAGGTCGGCCCTTCTCAGTGTTCCTCTTGCACGGTTTACAGAGCGCCCTGGGCCCACTCAAGGCTTTGGATGTTTGTGCTGCAGTCCTCGAGTGTTTAGAGAAGAGGAAGATATCCTGGCTGGCGCTCTTTCAGTTGACAGAGAGTGGTAAGAAAAACACGGAGCACTGCTCTTTTCAGAGGCAACTTTCAAACGAACGGGCCCTCCTTGAGGTTCACTTCGCAAATTCATTTTTGAGTTTATCCTCTGTCTTAGTTGGTAAGCTCCATTTCTTGTTCAGAGCAGTAAGATAACTTTACCGGTTCACTGGTCAACCCTAGGACTCACAGGCCTGTTGTGGACACTGCCTCACTCTGCCCCGCACCCCCGCTCTCCTGCAGGAGGGTGACCCCCCCACCCGTCTTCCCCCAATTGCTGACAGGTGCCCAGGTGTCCTCAGCTCAGGCTGTTCACCCCACACCATGACCCTAGCCAAGCCTCCTAGAGCACACATTCCCATCCTAGGGGTGTCCCCCAGCACTGCTAAGAGGCAGAGATGTCCAGAATTGTCTGAACCACCTCTTGGTGTTGCAGACACCAGGCTGGGGTGCCTCCTCCTCCGCGTGGCCCCGGATCAGCACTCCAGGCTGCTGCCTTTCGCCTTCTACAGGTAACTACACAGCCGTGTGTGGTCGGGGGGGGGGGGGGGGGGGGGGGGGGGCGGGCAGTGTTTCCCAGACCCCTATCTTAGCCCCTATGGGTCTCCCACCAGATGGGAAAGGTGGCCTGTGCCTCTGCCCCACCAATGAGCAGGTGTACCCTGATATCACCTGTAACCATGTCTTTACCTCTAGTCTTCTCTCCAACTTCCACGAAGACGCAGCCATGAGGGAAGAGGCCTTCCTGTGTGTTGCTGTCGACATGTACCTGAAGCTGGTCCAACTCTTTGTGGCTGGGGATACGAGCACAGTTTCACCTCCAGCTGGCAGAAGCCTCGAGCTCCAGGGTCAGGCAGGTGCCAGTCCCATCTCCAGGGGAGCTCCCCCACCTGAGGTGCAGCATGCAGATGGGAGGGGGGACACCAGCCCCGTCTCAGTATGCCTTCCAAGGTGTGATTTTGCCTGTTACTCTCTTTAGGGCGACCCTGTTGATCTGATAACAAAAGCTCGCCTTTTTCTGCTGCAGTTAATACCTCGGTGCCCGAAAAAGAACTTCTCACACATAACAGAGGTAATGTCAAGCTGCCCACCTTGGGGACGTGAGAATTCCCAGCTGCCTGGGCCATGGGCCCGCCTGGCGGGCAGCATGACTCCGCTGTCCTGCCAGCACCCCTCCCCTGTGGGCTGAGTCCCTGCTCTCTCCCAGCTGCTGGCTCATCGTGGAGACTGCGACCCGGAACTGAGCGCTGCCCTCCGGAGCAGGCAGCAGGCTGCGCCTGACACTGACCTGCACCGGGAGCCTCATGTCTTCTGACAGGACCTGCCAGTGCACACCAGCCCCGCTCCTTTGTAAATAATTTATTACAAGTGTAACATGGAGCTCCTGTTGCACTGAAGAGTGGATGATGAATCTCCTCAATTGCTTTAGTGGGGAAAAGGAATCCATTATTTATAAACTGCCTGGCCCAAAGTCACTTCAGTGTTTGTAGGAAAATAAACCACTGGTCCCAGAGCAGAGAAAGGCTACTTGATCTGTACCCCAAGCCCGCCTGCACCACCAAAGCTGGGCCACATCCTCTGACCCTCCTACAGGGCTTCACAGGAAGTCGGTGAGGCTGACACGGCCCTGCAGAGTCCAGGCTGCTATGGGTCCCATCCTCACTGCTGTCCTCAGGTGGGCTCGGGCTTCACCGCCTGGCCCTCTGCAGTTCCAGAGGGGCTAGGTGGCCCGGGGGGTGGCTCTGCCTCCAGGGGCAGGGCCTTGTCCTGGGTCTGTGTCAGTGGGTGCACCATGGACATGTGCACGTTGAGGTTGTGGGCCTTCTCAAACCGCCGGCCACACTGGTCACAGGCAAAGTCCAGCTCAGTCTCAGCCTTGTGTTTGGTCATGTGGTACTTGAGGGATGCCCGCTGCCTGCACTGGAACCCACAGACCTCACACCTGAGGGACAGAGGCACGTGAGAAGGTGGTTGGGCCAGCCGCAGCCCTGGGGCGGGCCGGGCTCACACTTACTGCAAAGGCTTGGCTCCCGAATGTCGCATCTGGTGGACGAGGAGGTGCTTCCGCTGCTTGAAGGTCTGTCCACACTCGTCACAGATGTAGTTCCGCACCTCTGAGAGAGCAGAGTCCAGTGAGTACAGGCCCCTGATGCTCCAACTGCCCGGTGGAGGGGGGCGCGGTGGCGTGGGGAATGGCAGTCTAAAACATCACAGCTGAGAGGATCACACTTCAACATGTGGTAGGAACAAGCAAGGGGTCTCTGAGGCCTAATTTATTAATAAGTAAATTGCTTGACAGGACCATCACACGGCTAGGTCTTCCCCATCATCAGCCATATACATTTAAGGACAGTTTTTTTTTTAAGATGGAGTTTCGCCATGTTGGTCAGGCAGGGCTTGAACTCCCGACCTCAGGTGATCCGCCCGCCTTGGCCTCCAAAGTGCTTGGATTACAGGTGTGAGCCACCACGCCCGGCCTTAAGGATGGTTTTTAAAGGAAATTCAGAAGCCACCTATTTCCTTGACCACAACTTCTTGAAGCTGTGAGAGGGGCCATACTCGGTATGCATGGCCTTACTTGCTCCATGTCTGGACATGCATACTCGCTCACCCTATGCTGTCCACATATCTGTCAAGCCTGAAATAGCTGAGCAAGACAGACTTTTCTGAGGTAAACCTTACCCTGAGGTCTTACTCTATGCTGTTCCACTTCAGAAAAAAAAAAAAAGACTTGAGTCTTGCTTACTCAGTTGCCCAGGCTGGGGTGCAGTCGTACAATAATGGCTCACTATCACCTCGAACCCCCAGATTTAACTGATCTCTTGCCTCAGCCTCCCAGCTACACCCTGCTAATTAAAAAACATTGGGGGCCGGGGCCTGGTGGCTCACACCTGTAATCCCAGCACTTTGGGAGGCCGAGGTGAGCGTGAATCACCTCAGGTCAGGAGTTTGACCAGCCTGGCCAACATAGCAAAACCCACTTCGCTACTTTAAAAAAAAAAAAAAAAGGCATGGCATCGGGTGCCTATAATCTTAACTACTCGGGAGAGGAGGCTGAGACAGGAGACTCACTTGAACCAGGGAGGCGTGGAGGTTGCAGTGAGCTAAGATAGTGCCACTGCACTCCAGCCTGGGCAACAGAGTTAGACTCTATCTCAATCAATAAATAATAATAAAACTTTTGGTAGAGATGGGGTCTCACTGTGTTGCCCAGGCTGGTTTCAAACTCCTGGCCTCCAACAATCTTCTGCCTCAGCCCCCAAAATGTTGAGATGACAGGCGTAAGCCACCACACCCAGCCTGATGTCAGGCGGAGAGTCTGAATAACCAAAGCCAAGGGAACGAGTGCCATCAGCAGAGATGGGGGAGAACACTCAGCCAACATGGCAGGTGCCAGGAAAGTGGCTTCACTGAAATCCACAAGGTGATCCAGCAATAAAAATAAATCCTAATGAGAAAATACTTTCTGCAATAAATTGTTCTTTAAAAAGCTCAAAACCAAGCAAAACTACATATTTAGGGATCAATACACAGTTGTCCTCAGCTGCCTCTTCAGGGGTCTCGGGCTGCACCGAGGACCCCCCCTTACCAATACCAAAATCTGCTCATACTACAAACACCCCACAGAGCCTGCACATATGAAAACGCGGCCCTCTGTATATCAGGGATTCGAGTTCCTGACCACAGGTACATGGGTGCACACAGTTCAAACCTGCCCAAGCTTCAGTCTGAGACCAGCCTGGCCAACATGGTGAAACCGTCTCTGCTAAAACAAAAGCTAGCTGGGCTTTATGGCAGGCGCCTGTCATCCCAGCTACTCGGGCAGCTGAGGCGGAAGAATCACTTGAACCCGGGAGGCAGAGGTTAGAGTGAGCTAAGATCACACCCCTTTTTAGTCTGGGTGACAGCAAGACTCCATGTTAAGAAAAATGTATCAGTTTTGAGAAACTGCTGGGAATCTGGGAATTCCTTCCATCATGGGGAACGGCAGAGTCACAGACCCCTACTCTAGCCTTCATCTACCTACGTGACTTGTGAGCACCCGAGGCCTTTAGCCACCCAACTCCTGGGGCAGGGGTGGGTGTCACGCGTCCGCGGCAGCACCTGTATGGATGAGCTTCACGTGGCGCTGCAGGTAGCGGTCGATCATGAAAACCTTGTTGCAGCCCGGGTGGGGGCAGGGCCGCTCCCGGACCTCCTCGTGGTGCTCCTTGATGTGCTTCTGCAAAAGAGACTCAGTGAGATCCTCAGCCTCACCTGGGCCAAGCCCCAAGGGCCCTCGGGTAGACTGCTGACCCAACTCCTCCGGAGACACCACTGGCTCCACAGCTTCACCAAACTTCTGGACCCCCAGGGGGTATCTCCAGTCAAAGTCTGGGCCCACACCTACCCCTCGGATGTTGCCATTAGTCTAGGTCATGAGCCTCCTTGGGCACAAGTCTGAGTCAGGTCACACTGACAGCTGCCAGGCCCCGGTCAGGCACCATCATTGCTCACCTTCATGCCATCGGCGCCTCGGTACACAGCCGTGCAGCCCTGGTAAGGACACTTATAGATGGTGGGAAGCTCCTCCCTGGAACAAACACCATGCATGAAGCCTCAGCCCCGACGGGGGGGGGGGGGGGGCAAGCCCCGCACTCCAGGCCTCACCTCTCACAACGAAGCTTCTTTTTCCACCCCGGCTTGGGTCCGGGCTTCTTCCGAATTCTTGGTTCTTCAGACTTCTTGGCTTCTTTGCTTTCAGTCTTCTTACCAGAGGCCCTGAAAAAAAGAGGTTCCCATATTCAGTGGCTTCTGATCTCTGCAAACATTTCTTGCCTGTCCTCCAGCATAAGAGATGGTTTTTCTGAAGCTTCCCTGAGGGAGTTGGTTCTGTGCTGACTAGCCCCCAAATCTAACCGTAGCCACCGAAGCCAGAGCGACTCTGGCAAGGAGGCCTCAGGAGCAAACGTAGCAGAAAGCCAGGGAGCAGGGCACAAGTCCATGGAGCGACCTGCTTGCTACATGGGTGAGTTCTCAGAACTGAAGCTTCACCCCATTCTACACACCAAACCCAAAACTGGAGCTATCAGGAAAGACGGCACAACAGGGATGCTCTGGGGGCCACTCCTCACCAAAACACCCTCACGCTAGAAAAGAGCTCAGAATCCACTCTGAGAACCTGAGAGCCTGATTCCAAGCTCAAGGCACCCAGGCAGGGTTTCAGAGGAAGAGGTGCTGTTCCCCCAGGAAGCAAGCACACAGCAGCTGCCACCCCCCTTCCTCAGCCCTGCCTCCCCTGCAGGGAGCCCAGCCTGTGTTCCTGGAGCTGCTGGCTGGGGCCATGGTGGGCAGGAGATCTTGTCCTCCAAAACTTTAGGGCCGTGCCAATTTAGTTGCTCTGGCAGGTCCCTGAGGGGCCAGCAAATGCAGCAACTTCCCATATGTGTATATCGGAGACTTAAAGGGGGACAGGCTTGTGTCTGCCTTTTGGATCCAGATAATTAAGGAAATCTCTGTCGGGAACAAAAGGGAGATTCCTGACCATGGTAAAGGCTCTACGTGAAACACCCACAGCAGCCATCACACTGGATGCTGAAAGACTAAAAGCTCTTTCTCTGAGATCAGGAAGAAGACGAGGATTATCTGACCGCTGCTACTCAGCACAGTACTGGAGACCCTAGCCAGACTAACCGGGCAAGAAACAAAAAACACTTGCAGAAAAATTGTATTCACAAATGACATGACCTTGTATGTAGAAAACCCTAAAAGATCGACATACAAAAAACGTGATTTCAGCAAAGTGGCAGAATGCAAAATCCATACACAAAACCCAATTATGTTTCTACCTACTATCCATCAACAACCAAAAGAAAGAAAACAACCGATGCACAATAGCAACAAAAAGTAATTCACACGGCAGTGGCTCCACTGCTGATCCCAGCACTTTGGGAGGCCGAGGTGGGAGGATGGCCTGACGCACAAGGCTGCCATCAGCCGTGACCATGCCGGTGCAGTGCAGCCTGGACAACAGCGTGAGACCCTGTCTCTAACTGCCCTTCTCTAGAGAGTGCACTGAAAAGGACTGTGGACGTACTGCTGCCCCTTCTCTCCCCGACCTAGCCACATGTCCCTTCACCTGCCCTGCCTTGTTTGAGAGTGACTGGCACGCTGCTCCCACAATGACCACTTACTTCCTAGGCACAGGAGGCTTCAGACCACCTGTAGCCTCTGTGCCCTCGGGTTTGGGATGGGAGTCCTCCCGCACAGGGGTGGACCGTGCTCAGGCCTCACCGCTGCTCGTCAGTCCTTTCACCACGATGACACAACCGCGGGCTGCAACCAGAGCCCCAATGAACACATCACTGAGGTCCCTTCTCACCTGCCCCCGGCTGAGGACCCAGGCAGGCATGCCTGCTAGAACTCTACGGCCAGCAGCAAGACGACTGCAAGGTGGCACATGGGCTGGGGGCTGTGCAGACGCCTCTCTAGGTTCCCAAGGGGTCTCACTGTAGCAGCTGAGGAGCCACATGCCCTGGCACTTGCCACAGTCAGGAGGCCACGTGTGCTTCCACCCAGCCCTGCCTCCTGAACAGAGCAGTTTCCGCTCAACTCACTCATTTTACTAGCAGCCTCTTAAAACATGCCTCGTGTCTCTGTTCCAAAGCACATCTTTGCCGCACTTGCACTGCTGGAGTTCCAAGGGGCCTAATGACACAGCAGCAGGGGCTCAGCAGAGAAGACCCTCCCTTCCTGAACCTGCCTCAATCTGGAAAAAGGGCTCTCCTGTACCCTCCCATCCCAGCTCCCAGCCCTCCTCACACCAATGGCCACAGACCTTCTGGGCAGCAAGCCATAGACACACATTCTCGGGTGTCCTGGGATTCAGACTCAGCCGGGGGAGGTCACAGGACAGGGAGTATGGGCTTCAACAGCAGCCATGATTCCTGGGAACAAACCCGAGGGTAGGGACCCCCGGGGCACCTTCTCTAGGCCTGACAGGTTTTCTGTCCACGCTGAGGCCGCCGGAGCCCCCCTGGCCCCACCCCGCCTTCTCCAGGCCTCCCACACTCCTGTTTCTCTTTTCATAAGTGAAACCGGCAGGTGACCTCTCAGTCTTCGATGCAGGGCTCTCTTGCCTCCCATGGTACTCAGAGCCGCCTGCTCTCTGCATCTTTGTTTTGGACTGTGAAATGCTAAGGAAAGGGACTGGGTCAGCCACCAACTACCTGGGAGTGTTCTGGGTATTCCTGGGTACAGGGTTGCAAAGAAACAGCACAAGTGAGAAGCAGCCCTCACTATCAAGGCCTGTGTCCTAACTGAAGAAAGAAAACACGAATCCCCAAAAACGGAAGGTCAAAGCAAGGTCACAGAAGTGATTCAACAATAAAGTAAACCGGCCGGGCGTGGTGGCTCACGCCTGTAATCCCAGCACTTTGGGAGGCCGAGGCGGGTGGATCACGAGGTCAAGAGATCGAGACCATGCTGGTCAACATGGTGAAACCCCGTCTCTACTAAAAATACAAAAAATTAGCTGGGCATGGTGGCACGTGCCTGTAATCCCAGCTACTCAGGAGGCTGAGGCAGGAGAATTGCCTGAACCCAGGAGGCGGAGGTTGCAGTGAGCCGAGATCGCGCCATTGCACTCCAGCCTGGGCGACAAGAGCAAAACTGCGTCTCAAAAAAAATAATTAATTAATAATAAAGTAAACCATGGCTGCCTGGCTAGGGAGGTCAACGACAGGGTCAGAGCTGGGAGGATGACAGACGGTGGGCTGGCAGTTCCAGGGGGACACTGGTGTGAACCCAGAATAGGACTGGCAGAAGGGACGCAAGAGCCGCCTTGTGAAGCAAGGCTAGGTTTTGTCAAAGGGAACCCCTGCCATCCATTGCTGGGAACCTGAGGCAGGAGGACCCACCTTCTCACCTGCCCCTCCCCCTGCCTCCCAGCTCACAGATTGGAGGCCACATTTGACTGTGCTCGGGAGATCCGGCCACAAAGAGTGAACTGAGGGTAGACACGGCAGGGAGTGGAGGCTCTGCCTCCCCTGCCCCTCCAGTGTTGAGGCGGGTGTCTAGATCACACACGTGATGCCTCCACCAGACTCACTCACTTCCGTTCTGGGTACGGCTCAAAGGACTCGTCTGAAGACTGCGCATTTTGCTTCTTGTCGTTTTCGTCTTCACTCAGGAAGTCTCTAGGAATTAAGAGAGACTCTTCAGCAAAGCCCTGGGCAGTGACAAAGCCGCAAGACTTCCTGCCTAAAGACACCACGTGGACCCCCATGTCCCCCGTTTCAGTTCTTCTGAAATTGTCTTCAGAAGTCTAAAATCTCCAAATTTCCAATCCCATTTCCAAACACAAAGGGCAAGCTGGGCTCACAAGCCAGCAATCCCCCACAAGCCAGGCGCTCCAGGCACCCGGACCCTGGTCTTGGAAAAAGCCCTTTCCACCGCAGTCTGGAAGGGCTAGAGCCTTGCAAAGGGGGCTTCCTGATAAGCAGACTCAGAAACCGAGCACCTCACCTGTAATTGTGAACCCTTAATGCAGCTAATGGGTTTGCCATCAGCCACTTCTAAGTTCACAAAAGCAGCCGGTGTTGTGGCTCACACGTGTTATCCAAGCACTCTGGGAGGCTGAGGGAGGTAGATCACCTGAAGTCAGGAGTTTGAGACCAGCCTGGCCAACACTGTGAAACCCCGTCTCTATTAAAAACACAAAAATTAGCCGGGCACGGTGGCACATGCCTGTAATCCCAGCTCCTCAGAAGGCTGAGGCAGGAGAATTGCCTGTACCAGGGAGGTGGAGTTTGCAGTGGGCTGAGATCACGCCACAACACTCCAGCCTGGGCAAAAGAGTGACAGTCTAATGGCCGGGCGCGGTGGCTCAAGCCTGTAATCCCAGCACTTTGGGAGGCCCAGGCGGGTGGATCACAAGCTCAAGAGATCAAGACCATCCTGGTCAACATGGTGAAACCCAGTCTCTACTAAAAATACAAAAAATTAGCTGGGCATGGTGGTGCGTGCCTGTAATCCCAGCTACTCAGAAGGCTGAGGCAGGAGAATTGCCTCAACCCAGGAAGCAGAGGTTGCGGTGAGCTGAGATTGCGCCATTGCACTCCAGCAGCCTGGGTAACGTGAGTGAAACTCCGTCTCAAAAAAAAAAAGTGACAGTCTAAAAAAAAAAATTTACAAAAGAAGAAAAAAAAAAAAAATTGTGGCCTTCATCCTAAAACGTGAGTTGCAATTTCATCTCCTGGTGGTCTTGGGGGCAGCCTCAGCCACCACAGATGCCTCCTGGTACTTCCAGGATTTCATCACTGGACACCCCACTGGGATTGCCCCCAAAATTGGGCTGTCCTCATTTGGATCAGGTATGTCTGCTTTGCAGCCAAGGTTTACAGGGGAAGGTGGAAAGGGTGTGAACCCCTGTCCGGCACAGCTGCCCTGAGTGCCGCTTGGCTGAGAAGCAGGGGATTCCCAAGGAGCTCACAGACACTGATGGGGTCCCTTCTGAGAAGTCCTGTCCACAACCACCACCTCAGGAAGCCTCTGCTTGAGGTCACAACAGTGTCATATTCAAGGGCTAGTCAGGCTTTCTCAACTCTAGAAACATCTGGAGCAAACACAAAACTATGGCCTTAAAGGAGTAGCGGTAACCAAGGACCCAGCCACAGGGTGGTTTCAACAAGCTCATTTCTGTGCTGCTCTGGGTTAGAAACCCTATCAGGCTCCCTCTGGAGCTGCACCAGGTCTAGGGGGTCCTGTGGCACCTAGGAAGCCAGTAATCAGGGACAAGAAGCCTCGGAAGCTCCCCAGCCACTCCTCTCCTCCCACCTCGAGAGGAGGCACATCCCAACCATGACATGGACAGCCGGCCCCTGCGATGGCTGTTTAGTTTTTGAAGAAGAAATTTTAGGCTATTTAAACCCACTCTTCTCTCACCCCTCAGAAAGGTCACTGAACTCGTCTTTTACCCGATCATCCGAGGTTGAAGATGGAACCTGCTTCTCACCCAACTGCCCTGAGAAACAAAGAACAAGGCTCCCGTTACCCACGTGGAACACAGAAAGGCCTCACCTGCAAGGAGGCACGACTTGACTAGAAGGGAGCCTGGGGTCCCCCACCTTCAAGTTCCCCCGACCTTGGCCCCATCCCTGCCAAGGGTGCTACGTGGCCTCTGATCCTACCAGCCCCACATCCAGAAGCGCACAGGCAGCAGCAAGCATCAGAACCCCCAAGAGCAGCAGAACCAGAAAGCCCAGTTCTTCCACAGACTCAGGTCTAGTCCTCCTCACATAGCCTGGACCTGGGGGATGTTCTGAGACATTTAAAAAATTACCGTTGTTGGCCAGGCATGGTGGCTCACGCCTGTAATCCCAGTACTCTGGGTGACCGAGGAGGGAGGATCACCCGAGGTCAGGAGTTGGAGACCAGCCTGACAAACATGGTGAAACCCCGTCTCTACTAAAAATAGAACAAATAGCCGGGCATGGTGGCAGGTGCCTGTAATCCCAGCTACTCAGGAGGCTGAACCAGGAATAGTGCCTGAACCCGAGGGGCAGAGGTTGCAGTGAGCCACAATCACACCACAGTACTAAAGCCTGGGCGATAAAAGTAAGACTCTGTTTCAAATTAATAAATAAATAAGTATCAGAAAAGTATGGGAACTTACTTAAAAAAAAAAATTACTGTTCCCTTGGCCGGGTGCAGTGGTTCACGCCTATAATCCCAGCACTTTGGGAGGCCGAGGCAAGAGGATCACTTGAAGCCAGGAATTCAAGACCAGCCTGAGCAAAATAATGAGAGCCCCATCTCTACTTATTTTAAGTATTAAAAACTATTGTTCTCAATGTACTGCACACAAGTTTAAAAAGCCAAGCAATTCTAAGATGTGACACTCACAACCCTGCCCCATCCCCGAGGCCCCCTGAACCACACCATCTCATTTGTGCACCGTATCCAGCTGAATCATCTTAGCCATCTCAGGCAGCTGCATTTTTGCTTAGGACAGAGTCTTACTCTGTTTTGGGATAGTCTTGCTGGAGTGCAGTGGTCCAATCTCAGCTTACTGCAACCTCCACCTCCCAGGCTCAAGTAATTCTCATGCCTCAGCCTCCAAAGTAGCTGGATTACAGGTGCACGCCACCACACCCCGCTAGTTTTTGTATTTTTAGCAGAGATGGGGTTTCACCATGTTGGCCAAGCTGGTCTTGATCTCCTGACCTTAAGTGATCTGCCCGCCTCAGCCTACCAAAGTGTTGGGATTACATGTAGCTGCGATTTTTGGGAGCTCCACTGAGGACTCAAGGTCAGAGCTAAGTGCCCAGGTGGGACAGGTGCACAGAGCACACGCAGGGCGAGAGGTTGGTGGGAAACTGGCCGCGGCCCTCCTAACACAACATCCAGGAGCAGCCGCACCAGCCCACGGTGCTGAGGGTTCTGGGGCCCAAACAAGAGCTCTGTATTTCCCCTCAGCCTGTCAGCAGAGAAAGCTGCGCCACCATGGCCCACACCAGGGCACCACCAGGCAACTGTCTGAGTGCCAGGAAATGACCTGCAGCTGGCCCAGGGCAGCAGCTACAAAGGCAGTGGCCGCTCTCTCCCCCACGTCCACAGACAAGGCTCCATTATTCTCTTCCTCAGTCCCCTCAGCTCCAAGCACAGGCTTAAAGACTAGACAGCTAATGAACACGTGTCTCTACGGAAACTGCAGGAACTGAGCTCTGCTCATGAGATAGGCTGGCCACCCCTCCCTGCTCTTTGGATGTGGTAAGCTGCCGCAGGCAGAAGCCCCAAACCCCCCCGGCCCCTCTGACACCACACCACAGCCACCACCCAGAGCAGTGGAGATATCCATTTTCTGCCGAAAACCCTGCCCCGTGGAGGAGCACAGATCCTGGTCTAGCACTGGCATGAGGTGCCTCCTACCTGGGGCCCCGAAGAGGGGCAGGCTTGGTTGAGGTGGGAAGCCCCGCCTGGGCCCTGCCGGGTTGCTCTCTGAAGGAGGCTGGGCCGTGTCTGTGCCGGGCAGGGTCCTGGTCTCAGGCCCCACTGGGGTCCCTGTCCCTCTGCCCTGGGAGGTTTGAGGGGCGGCCCCAGGGTTGCAGCCTCGGTGCTGGGGCAGCCGTGGCACCGTCTCCTTGTCCCATGGCCACCTGACTGCCAGTGTACTGTCCAGCAAGAAGGCCTTGCAGCTAGAGCTGGAGTCCATGGTGTAGTCGTGGCCCTGGTCACAGCCCCACACGGCCTGGATGATGCCACAGTACTCAGAGGACAGCGTCCTCTGAAGGTGGGGCAGGGCCCTGCAGCTGGCCGCATGTCCGTGCACCCACCCCACCAAGCCGTGCAGGCACTGGGGGCTCGATGTGATCAGATCCACTGCAGAGAGTCAACAGAGATGTCAGTTCCATGGCTGGCCAACACCCAGCCCACCGTCCACCATCCACCGGGGGAGGACTCACCCAGACACGCTCCCTCCTCTGCCCCTGTTGGGGGCTGGGCACCGACCCTGCAAAGATCAGTGTGGCCATGAGCAGGACCAGCAGGCGAAGACTCACGGCGCTCCCCATACAGGAGCCTCTTGAGGTCTCAAACCAGCGGTCCCCACAGGGAACCCTCTCCTCTCCCCTCCCCGCAGCTCCCCCGGCTCGCTCACATCGGTCCCAGGGTATTTGCGCTGAGCTGGGCATGGCCCATTCCCCCACCCAGAGGCTCCCGCCGAGGCTCGCCCTTGTCCCTCTCTCAGCACGTGTCACTCCACAGTGCTGACGACCTGAACGTGACCTAAACAGGCTAGAGCGTACCTTGCACAAGGCTTCCGGTGGCCCGTCGGGGAGACATTGATCCTCTGCAGGAAGGACTTGAGGAGGCTGTGGCACTGGTAGAACTGGGTGTGGCAGCTCTTGCAGACAAACTGAGATAAGCTGGGGTCCTGGCGGACAGCCACGCCCAGCAGGCGCTGGAAGTCCCTGACGAGGACGCGCTCCCCTGCAGACGGCCTCTCCACGCTGGCTCCGGGCGCCCTCTCGGAGATGCTGCGCAGGCTTCTCGAGGAAAACTTTCCGTGGCAGAGGCGACAGTGCCCCATAGTGACAGCCTGGCCTGCTGCACAGAGCGGCAGGAAATATTAGCAGCACGCAAAGGAGGCGGCTCCTGAGCGCGGGGTGTCCTGGACTCGGTCCGAGCGCCATGCCCGCACCGCCCTCCACAAGGCCCCGGGACAGACAGCCGCCCTGCGGGTGACGTGGCCGCTGGTCCAGGACGTCTTCCAAAGAGCTCTGAAGGCCGCCAGGGCGAAGCGACCTCGCGAGTGAAGCCTGGAGCTGCACCCTCCTCCCCGCGACCGCGCGCCCGGGGCAGGCGCTGCGCTCTCCAGGAAACGCAGCGGCTTCCCGCCTGCCCAGTGCGGACGCCGCCACCTCCTCTCCTGCTCCCGACAGGACCCGAGGCCGGGGAGGGCGACCTGCCCGCGGCGACGGCGCCTCTCACGCCGGGTCCCTTCGGACGGAGCGCGCGCGCCGAGGCCGCGCCGGCTTCCGGGCAACTCCGCCCACCCGCGGTCCCCGCCGCGACCCCCGCCCGCCCCGTCCGGGCCCGGACGCACCTGCCTCGTCCGTGCCGTCCTCGCCCGCGTCCCCGCAGGCCCCCGCCGGGCCCCAGGCGCGCCGCGCCGCCGCCCCGCCCACCCTCGGCCCGCCGCTGCGGGAGGGGCGGCCCCGAGCCCAGCCGTCGCCGCCGCCGCCGCCCGACGCTCCGCGCTGCCGGCCCGCCCCAGCGGACAGGAAGCGCCCCAGCCGGTCCCGCTTCACAGCAGCGGAGAACGGACGCCACCGGACCCCGCGGGTGCTGCCGGGTGCTGCCGGGTGCTGCCCGGCCCCGCTCGGCCCCGCTCGGCCCCGCTCGGCCCGGCTCGGCCCGGCTCGGCCCGGCTCGAGGTTCCCGAGGACCAGCGTCCGGTCCTCCAGGCGCGCTGGAAGCGAGGCGGGCGAGGGGCGGGGCGCGAGGGGGGACGGGGCGGGACCCCGCCGGCCGAGGTTCCACCCGCGGGGCCCGCACCCCCGCTCGCAGCGCTCCCCTCTCCGGCCCGAGGGCTGCCCCCTCTGCCCGCCGCTGCCGCCCACGGGGCGCGGGCCTGGGGCGGGGCACTGAGCGGAGGGGCTCGCCGAGACCTCCCGACGAGCCCTCCAAGCAGAGGCAACCGGGTCCGCCCCGCCTCCTACCGTGGGGGACGTGGGCGCGGGCGGGCGCCGGCCGAGGCGACGCGGCGGCGCGCAGGTGGCGGGCGGGCGGGCGAGAGGGAAGCCGGGGTCTCACGGAGAGGGAGGCCTGGCTGCCGCGGTTAGACGCCCAGGGCAGCTCCGGGAGGGACCCTTCTCGCCCGCCCCGTCTGGAGGAGCCGCCCGAGATGCGTCGCTCCCGCCGTTGACACCCGCGGGACCTGAAGTACGCGCGGCGGGGCCCGCGGCCGGAAGTGCGCTCGCCTGCCTTCCGGCGGTCCGCTGCTCCGGCGGCTTCCGCACCCGCGCCCGCTGCGTTCCGGGATCCCGCCCGCCTGCCCCGCCCCTCCGCCGCCGCCGCCGCCTGCCCCGCCCGGCGTCATGGCCGCTGCGGCCGGGGACGGCACGGTGAAGCCGCTGCAGAGCGCCATGAAGCTGGCCAACGGGGCCATCGAGTTGGACGCCGGCAACCGGCCCCGGGTGAGGCGGGGCGGGGGCGGGGCTTGGCCGCCGGGGTGGCCCCTGGAGAGACCCCCGCCCCCGGAGGGCGAGGACGGGGCCGGCGCGGGCTGGGGGCGCGGGGGCGGGCGCCAGCAGGGACCCCGGACCGCGGTTCCCGGGCGAGGGTGGGGCGGGGCGCGGCGGGCGTCGCCCGGGCCGCGCGCGGTGACCTTGGGCAGCGCAGCGCCCGCCGCCTCGCCTCCCCTCCCGTGGCCGCGCCGGTGCCTCCGGGCCGGGCTGCACCTGTGCGGGGGACGCGGGGCGGGCCCGGGCGACCCTCCGGACCCCGGGTGGCGGGCGGCGCCCGCGCTCGTGCGGATCCGGTGCGGCTGCCCCGGGGCGGCCTCCGAGGGGCGGCCTCCCGAGGCGGCCGCAGGCCGGCTCCCCGGCGACGCTGTGTGCCGTCGCCTCCCGGGGCCCCGGGAGGGCAGCGCAGGCCGAGGGGTGGTCCGCGCCCGCGCCGGGCCGAGGCCAAGGTGAGGAGCCGGCGCCGCCACGCCGGCCGCCCGAGGAGGGAAGGAGCCCGCCTGTGCCCAGGAGACGCCTCCTTCCCGGATCTGCTGCTTTCCCCAAGCGGGTTTTTAGGGCGGCGGCCCCCGCACATCAGAACTCCCGCCTGGATGACGTTTGTCTTTCTCTCTGAGGCACCGACTTCGTTAACGATAGGTGACTTAACGCCTAGGGATCAAACAGCGAAAACACACCGTATTGCCGGCGCGGGGGCTCACGCCTGTCATCCCAGCACTGTGGGAGGCCCCGGCGGGCGGACCACGAGGTCAAGAGATCGAGACCATCCTGGCCAACAGGCCGAAACCCCGTCTCTACTAAAAATACAAAAAAAATCAGCTGAGCGTGGTGGCGCACCCCTGTAATCCCAGCTACTCGGGAGGCTGAGGCAGGAGAATTGCTTGAACCCGGGAGGCGAGGTTGCAATGAGCCGAGATCGCGTCACTGCACTCCAGCCTGGGGGACAGTGCGAGACTCTGTCTCAAAAAAAAAAAAAATCGAGACCATCCTGGCCCACATGGTTAAACTCCATCTCTAAAATACAAAAATAGCCAGGGTGGTGGCGCACGCCCGTAATCGCAGCTACTGGAGAGGCTGAGGCAGGAGAATTGCTTGAGCCCGGGAGGCAGCTGCAGTGAGCCGAGATTGCGCCACTGCACTGCAGCCTGGGCGACAGAGTGACACTCCGTTGCCAGTGAGTGAGCCAGTGCCCGGCCACCTACGCCGTCCCTTTAGTGGTTTCCAAAAACCACTGAAACAAACAAACAAACAAAAACAGCACGCTGTGTTCCTGATGATCTTTGCCTTGCTGGAGGCGGGCCGCACAGCCTTGAAACACAACAGCCAAGTGTTCTAGGCTCCTGCGTGCATGGGGAATACTTAACTCCGGTTCTGGGAAAGGGATTTCTCAGAAATTAAGCCAGGAAGTGATCAAAAAACCTGCAGCATTACTCCTCTGTGTCCTCTCAGGAAGTATGTTTTAAGCCACTGATTGAATCGCCCTTGAGTTGCACAAGAAGGAAACTAGTTTCACAGGGTAAAAAATGACAGAAGCTGCTGAAGTCGCTTCCCCGGGCCACTAATTGAGAACCCCAGCTCCTGTGCTGGAGAGAAAGGCAGTGAGAGGAGGAAGTGAAGTCCAGCTCATCCCTGGCTCTCTCTCAGGCCCCCACTTCCTTTCCAAGTCTGGAGGGCTGTGAACTGCCTGTGCCATGGGCAGGACACCACTGATCAGACCACCGAGGCTTTCCAGCTGCAGCCCCTCACTGAAGGCTACGTGTCTCTGGGTGCAGCTTAGAGATAAGCAGGTGGTGGTGTTCCTTGCTTATCCCACAAGTGCACCAGGCAAGAGAGATGGAGTCACTCCCCTCCACTGGCCTGACCCACTTCTCTTTCCTGAACACAGGAGGCATACACGGAATACCTGAGGAGCATCCACTATATCTCCCAGGTGCTACTGGAAGAAGTGGAAACCACTAAAGGTACAGCTCGGCTAGCCGGGCACTGGCTCACTCACTGTCATCCCAGCACTTTGGGAGGCCTAGGTGGGCGGATCACCTGAAGTCAGGAGTTGGAGACCAACCTGGGCAACCCCTGTCTCTACTAAAAATACAAAAATTAGCTGGGCATGGTGGCAGGAGCCTGTAATCCCAGCTGCTTGGGAGCCTGAGGCAGGAGAATTACTTGAACCCAGGAGTGAGCGGAGATCATGCCATTGCATTCCAGCCTGGGCGACGAGCAAAACTCTCTCTCAAAAAAAAAAAAAAATATATATATATATATATGGCTCAGCCTTGCCACTCCCTCCATGCTGGACAAATTGTGGGCAGCATAGTCCTTGATGGGCACCAGGCTTGGGGGATCTCCTGTATCCTTCCAGTCTGACCGGTGGACTGGCCTGCACTCAGTGTGACATAGTGACAGGAAGGGGCCAGTGTTGTGGGTAAGGTGGCGATTGGGATGTGAGAAGACATGGGTTCCAGTGGGCTGCACAGAAGCGGGGCAGCATTCCAGCACTGGAACGTGCAAAGGCCCTGAAATCAAAGGCGCAGGGTGGGGCTCTGTGCCTGCCTAGGGTGGAACTGGAGCCGTTCTGGTGTGAAGGGAAACTGGAAGAGGCTTTGAGCTTTGAGGGAGAGGCCAGCCTGGGAGTGGAGCTTCAGGTGAGGACTGAGGACGGCAGTGGCCAGACCACCCGGGATGGGAGCAGTAAGCGGCCTGGGAATGTCCCTTGAAGGTGGATCACAGCAGACTGCAGGCGCGGACTGGCGAGGGGGCAGTAGAAAGCTCCACAATGATTGTTCTTACTTCACACACAAAAAGAATATATATATCAAAAAAAGGAAGTTCGCCGGGCGCGGTGGCTCAAGCCTGTAATCCCAGCACTTTGGGAGGCCGAGGCGGGTGGATCACGAGGTCAGGAGATCGAGACCATCCTGATCAACACGGTGAAACCCCGTCTCTACTAAAAATACAAAAAAAAATTGGCTGGGCATGGTGGTGCGTGCCTGTAATCCCAGGTACTCAGGAGGCTGAGGCAGGAGAATTGCCTGAACCCAGGAGGCGGAGGTTGCGGTGAGCCGAGATCGCGCCATTGCGCTCTAGCCTGGGTAACAAGAGCGAAACTCCATCCCAAAAAAAAAAGGAAGTTCCACAACAAACACATTCAGTCATTCAGTTTGAGGAGTGCAGCCACTCGATGCAGGGGCACAGAGGTCAGGGGAGCTCGTAGGGAGCTGTGAGCTTGGCTGAGCTCTGTGGCTCCAAGATTGAGGAGTTGGGAGGAGGACTGGCAGAGGATCCCATGGGGAGAGCAACGTCCCAGAAGACAGAGGAACTCCAGGGGCCCGCCGCATCTGGCAAGGTGGCGATGGGGATGGGTAAGGGCAGTTTTCGGGGGTGTCGGGGGCTAAATCGGGGGGCGGGACGAGAAAACGGGAGTGCCATGTTTGCTGTGAAAGGCCCCAGGGAGGTGGGTCAGGAGCTGGGGTGCTGGGTCCAGGGGTGGGTCCAGGGGTGGGTCGCAGAGAGGCAGCTCCCACAGTGTGGAGGTGGGTGGGGCAAGGGGCAAGTCACAGCGTGCAAAAGGACTGCGTGAGCATGTCCATGGTCCTGAGCAGAGGGGCTCCATGCCAAGCCCATGGGAAGGCGGGGCTTTGGGTACACACAGCCAGTGGGAGATGGGCAAGGAGATTCCCCTCAGCACGTCCTTGTCTCTGAAATGGCCCCTTCCCAGAGGGCTGCGGCTGCACGTGAGGCCCTGAGTGAGCGGCAAAGGCCCTGTTTAGGGTCCAGGCTCTCATGGGCCTCCGTGAGGGGCACATGGACTCAGCAGGGTCATGAGGTAAAACCAGGGCAGGTGATTAGAGATGAGTGGTTGGGGGCTGGCCCAGGGTCAGTAGCGGTTGGGGGGGGG